TTGGAGCAACGTGCTCTAGTGGAAGGTGTCCCTGCCCGTGGCAGGGGTTGGAACTGGATGAGATTTAAGGTCCCTTCCAACATGAACCAGTCTGATTCTGTGGTTCATGCTGCATAAAATAACCATGTAAAGAACAAAGTGTTGGTGTGCACTCGGAGAAGAACAACACAACCCAGCCACCAAACATAGGTGCACACTGTAGCTTAAAGCATCAATTCCCAGGGGGTGTGATGTGTTTATTGGGGCAGAGTTGGTACCTGCGTTCCTCCAAATGGAGCTGAAAAAGCATTAAGTACAGTTTGGGTGGGTTTGATTCTTCTTGGGGGTTCACAATTTGAAAAGGAATCATTTATAGGACTTGCATAATAACCATTTTCTTTTTCATTTCTCACGTGTCGGCACCACAGGATGGGAATCGCAGATCCTGGAAACAGGCTTCTTGGGGATATTCCTCTGCCCTCTCTGGACCCTGTCCCGCCTGCCCCAGCACACTCCTCCTTCCAGCATCGTCATCTGGGGCTTTCGGTGGCTGATCTTCAGGATCATGCTTGGAGCCGTAAGTGGGACTTCCCATATTTGCCTTTCTGAGGTGACAGCAAAAGAACTGTCCCATCCCAGCAGGAAACCTGGTCCAACACAACGGAGTCCTCTGCTTTAGGGATTTTTCTGGTTACAAGGAAGAAGGATGTAGCAGGAAATGCTTCACGCTCTGGTTCACCCAATCTTTCAACTTACTGTTAGTGTTTATTTTGAGGTGAGCAAACACAGGAGTAAGAATATCAGTGTCGATATGTTGGTGCTGCTCGTGTGATTGGCTCCTGAAAAGGAATAAAAGTTGGAGACTTGGGCATTGGGGCTTTTTGATGAGATTCTTGGGAATCCAGTGGGTAATTCCAGGAACGAGGAGCTTTATCCAAAGTTACTTTTGCTCTATGTGTGCTTTGCTGCAATGTCATTCTCTGCTGTGTTTTCAGAGAACAATTGCTGCATTTCTGTCCTGGTGCTGGTGGAAATTCCCAAGCAGCTTGTAAAAGAATCCATCAAGAACTGACACATCTTTGTTAAAATAAAGGTGTGGCAGGGGTGTTATCCTGTCATCTCAGCCCTCATTTAGGACATTTCAGAATATCCCAGAACTTTAAGCTAAGGATCATGACTCTAGAGAGAGATTGACAATCCCTAACACCCAGTGTTGGGAAACACAAGTTATTTGGTCACCAAGTCTGCATCCTGTTTTAAAAGAGGACTCTGACTGAACTTTGCCTTATTCTGGCTCATTTGTGATATGTATTTTGAATTATGGGGTAGGTTGGATATGAAGGGAAACCGTGCTCGCCAAACACGTTTGTTACTGTTATCTGTGCTGCTGCTTGGCTTATCTGGAGAGCAATAACTCTGTGTTGTCTCAGGGAGAGCCTCTGCAGAAGAGCTGCTGCCCTGCATGTCCTTTGTCTGGGTCACTGATATATAAGTAAGAGGCATGGGAGAGGCAAACATGGAAAGGTCATTAAGTGGGGATCTATACAAGCAAGTGGAAATCAGTGATTGATGGTATCTTTAATGTTTTGGGGCCCAAACACATGGGTGGTTCCTTCTTGGCTGGGGTAATGATGCCTGCAGGCACTGGGAAGCGAGTTTAATGTGTGGAACTGAAGTGTCCTCCTGGAGCAGAGCTTCACCTGCTCACAGGCCATCTTTGAGTTCTTCCTTACTGAGGCAGGAACTGAAGCATGTGCACAAATGTGGGCTGGAGGCTGTTTTCCCAGGGGTGGGATTGGCCGTGGATTTGTCTTCTGCTGAAAGAAAGTGAAGGAGCACTGGAGCAGTGATATGTCTTTGGACTTTCTACCACGTAAACCATAGAAGTCCACAGAGGTGGTGGAAGACGCCTGAGCAGCACATGAAGGTCAGGGATGCACTGTGCCTGCTCCCCTGCTTTGCTGCCATTTCTTTTGTGTCTCCCTGTTCATCTCTCTCCTGTTAGGAGGTAACTGATGCTCCTGACATTCCGCAGCATCCCCAGCATGGTCCTGCTCCCTTCTCTCTTAGTCTTAACCAAGTTTGCTGCTGAAGCATGTGAGCACCGTCAGTCCTGGGGTAAAGGTTGGACTTGCTGATCTCAAAGGTCTTTTCCAACCTAGGTGATGCTATGATTCTGTGATCAACCAGCTCTGGAGTGGTGTTAGGGAGCCTTGTGTTTCCTGGCTAATCCTCCCCATGGAAATCATGTCCAGGTCTTGCTTTACTGTGCTTGGCCTCCCTGGGCTGGCCTAAGGGAGATGATGCAGTTTATGAAGTAGAAGAACCCCGGCTGTGTTCTTGCAGGAGATGAGGAGCAGGTTCTGCTTCTGGAGTTTGATTGGCAGCGAGTGCTGGGCTGATCTCAAATATTGCTGCCTTTTTAAAAGGCATAATTACGTGATTCAATCTATATGTTTGATGTGCCTAATAATCCATTAGTGCAGGATGTAAAGACAGATGCTTCTTAGGAACATGCAGAGGCAACAGAATAGCGGTCCCTTTGTGTGAGGAGCAGCTTGTTAGGAAATAAGTGATGCAAACAGACATTCACGGGGCGGATTTGCCTCAGAAGTCCTCGGTGACTTGATGTCTTTGTCATGTTCCTTGTGACTCTTTGTCACTCTGATTTCTTGAGGCTTGGAAGGTGCGATGTGTTGGTTTGTGTTTCCACAAGCGGGTAAGCAGAGGTGCTCAGCTGTCAGGCATTAACCAAGGACGTTACCCAAACCATGGTGACTTGCCAAGAGGAGCAGCCCATGCTGTCAATGAGGTGCTTTGCTTGGCATCACTGCTGGGTGGTGTTTTGGATTATTAGGATGGATTATTAGGTGTTTTGACATCTGCAACTACCTGGGGAGGCATCAAAGGTATGATGCTGTGCTCTTAAAGCCTCAGCCCTCTCTCAAATCTATGTGTGTGTGTACATATATATATATATATATATATATGTATATGTGTGTATATATTTCAGCAGACAGAGTTTGCTTCCCAACTGCTTCATTCCCTCTAGAGCTGTTGTGGGGCTCGGTGCATTTGATGGGGTTGAGCTGATGAATTGTTAACACCGTGTTGCTGAAACTTCATAGTAGCTCTTTGGATCCTGAAAGTCGTTAGTGATTGCACACATAAACCATAAAATGCAGCTTCTGTTCCTTCATTAGTTCAGTGTCTAAGAGACACTGTGTGTGTGCTTGCTCAGAAACGTGAGAATTTGGTTTTCATCAACACCTGTGGGTGTAACTATAGTAACTCTGATAAAACTTAGTAACTGGAAAAGCACGTGTAAAGGGATGGGAGTGTGGGAATGTGATTTAACTGGATTTGGGGAAGAGCCTTAGGCAACGTTCATCCCTGAGCCCCCTGCAGCCAGCCTCATGGGTGAGGGGTTGCAGTGCTGGGTGCTGGGGGGGGTCTCCTGATTTCTCTGTCCTGGGGTTTTCCTGCATTGCAGGAGCTCCAACACCCCCATCCCACTTGATGAAGAGGAGCTTGGGCTGCATCTTGGTGTGCATCAAGCTGAATCTTGACTTGAAAAGGGGATGCTTTTGACTGTAGACATCCATGATTTCCTCACCAATTATTCCCAAGGGTTGCCTCTTCTTGTTGCTCACAGCTCCTCCAGCCTCAAACCAGAGGGTTTTTCTGACAAGAGGCAGTTAAATGTGGGGCTATTCCCTCCTATCAGCACATTTTGCTGTCAATAAAGCAGATATAAACATGGTGTGTAATGAGTTCAGGTCTAACTTTTGGCATGGTACTGCCTCTTCCACCTGGAGCTGGTGAAGTACAGTGGTAGTGATGGGACAGGGCAAGGACTTACCAAAGAGCAGAGCAAGCAGTGAGTCCCCTGTAGGAACTGCCCCACTGCTTGGGACAGAAAATAAGGACTTGGGGACTGGGATGGGGAAACAGGTCCCAAACTGAGCCAGGGTGAAACTGGGATGAGCAGAGGCAGAGCAGGAGTGAGGATGTGGGAGCCCTGTCCAGCAGAGGATGCTGTGCCAGCCGCAGCGAGGGGCTGGGGGTGGGGCCCCTTCTGGCTTGGGCAGATTTGTTGAGCCTGGTGCTGCCAAAATCCTGCCCAGCCCCGTGCCAGGATCTGTCCTTGGGTCATTACATCTTTGGCTTAACTGAGGAAAGCATTAAATTGTGGGCAGCTTTGAGTGGAGGAGACAGGAGTGGCTTTTATGGGGGTGCGTGATGGCATTTGCACATGGGCTGTCTCTCCCGCTCCATGTTATTTCAGGTTTGGAGATACTTGAGATGTTCCTGAAGGTTTTAGCAGTGTGTATGAGCCGTGCACAGCCTGGATTGCTGCCACAGATGAAGTTAACGGGGAAAGTCATGTGGGGGAACCCTGCCTGGAAGCATGAGCTGCTGCTGGTTTACTGCAGCTCTGCGCGGCTGCTGCTGCAGCTGGCACTCGGAGGGCTGATGCTAAGGGCTGCATGGAAATGTCTTTATCTGGTTACAGCTGGTGTTCCTCCTCTAAAACATGAGGCACATGAGATGCCTTTAGGTCAGGTTGGACTCGAGGCCAATGAGAAGTAAAAGCTCAGACTGAGTTTTCTTGCACCAGAGCAAACACGAGTGTTTGTTGCTTGCATGTGGCTGTGATGCTGTTGGTGTTAGTGGTTCCTCTGGAAGGGCCCAGCAGTGATGGTGTCATTTAATCTATGTGGCTTTTCATCATCTCCATTTGAAGTCTTCTCCTGTCCCTCTTCTCTCACTACCTTTCTCTTTGGGAGATGAACACGGAGTCTGGCAGTTCTCTGTGTTACAGCTGAGGGCTGGTGGTTGCTGTGCTGATAACACAGACCTGAGCCCAATACAGGCTCTGAGTAAGGGAGGTGTCAGTGGGAATATCGGTCATCAAGAGGGCTAAACACCTCAAGATTCTCACTCTCTTGTTCTCGCAATGCTGCTGCATCCCTGTCTCATGGGAGCAGAGCTGTGGTCCAGGAGCAGCCATCCCCAGCTAGTACGACTGCTGACCAGTATGCAGCAGTAGTGGAATGCTGCTGGGATGTGCCCGCTTTGGTCCAGGTCTCTTGGGTGCTGTCGCTCAGGGAATAGAACCAGTGTCACTGAAGTGAGGCTTTTTCAGACCTGGCCAGCAAGGGAGGGAAAATGCCTTTAGTGTGTCCTAAAGGAAATGGAGAACTGACAGGCACTTTCCTGTTATTCCCTATGGTTTTGGTCATGGATCCCCTTTGACGGACAGGACCCATCAGTGCCCCTCTGCTGCAAGTACTGTGCACCTTGGAAATCACCTGCAGAGCTCCTCTGCACCAACCTCTCCTGCACCTCTTTACCCTGGGTTGTTTTCCCATTGCCATAACGAGGTGGAGATGCTGGTGCTCTGCGAGCAGTGATGCTTTATAGACGTGTATATATGGGTGAGCCCATATGTGTGCAGCGTGGCTTGTTTGGACTCTTCATGGAGAGGTGGTTGTTTCTCAGGGGTTTCCAATAAGCATTTTGCTTTGCATCAGGAGGGGTTTGCAGTGCCCTGTTAGCAGCAGCACTACTGAG